TTGTATTTTTTCTTCCATAAGGTTTCATGCAAATACTTATCTCCTTTTCTACATCATAGTGATATGATCAGAATACACAACTATATTCAGTTTCACATCATAATTGATTAACTCAACTTTATCTTTTCCTCCAATCTTATAACTCTATCACTTTTACTCTAATATCTAGTCAATAACATCTGTTCAATCTAGGGCACAAACCCTAGTCAACCAATCATAGACATCCTACCTTTCATCATTTCTTAATCCTTGTCTGTACTTTAATACACATGATCTTTTCATATTACTTTATACTTCTCTTTCAATCCTTACTTTCCCTCAACCATAAGTATCGTTATTTCTTTCACTATATCTCATTCATATGATCAACATATTTTTCAACATGTAATCTCGTTAGCCAACGCTAACTCTTTCTTCTAGAGTACAAACCCTTATCATATCCACACTCTTGCTTATACACCATACTATTTCTTTGTTTCAAATCCATAACTCTGATTTCATTCATTTTATAAACGTATCACTGATGCACTTATTGTTAAACTCTTCTACAATTTAACCACATCATTTGATCTTTTAACGTTCTTATGGTGACATTTTTCCACCATACTCTAGTTTTATCTCATAATAACGAAACTTCTCAATTTAACTTCTCCACTTTGGAGAAATAACAACCATCTAACATTATTTTTATATCATTTATTCAAAGGTCTGTAACAATAGAATCTTTCTCGAATTCACCCTTGAACTCAGGTGCTCTTAACTCTTTTAACTATTTCTATACATTCATTCAACATCATGAAACATTCTCTAATCTTATACAAGCATTCCCTAAGGTTTTCGCTCTTCTCCTTGCCTGGCCAGGGCAGGTGAATGATATTACCTTCAGGTTTATCGCCTTGTGCTTCTCATATATTCATGTGCTCATATTATTTCTTCTATCACATATCACGTGTGCATATGATCATCCAATTCATATCATATAACATATATATCTCCTAAATCATTCTCAAATATTCACTTATCTTATATAGCATAACAATTTAACTCTATTAACAAGACAACACACTCCTTACCCTATCAGATCAGAAATTTTCACTATATGTTGGCATGTACACATTTTTAAAACTCATTTGACTTCAGTTTAAGCCTAGAATCGGCTAAACCTTAGCTCTGATACCATTAAATGTAACACCCCAACCCCTATCCGACCCGAATCCGAGTCCGAGGTATCACATTGTCTTTTCAAAACTTTTGCTTGTACAAAATTAGTGAATAATTTAAAACTTTTATAACATATAACTTATTCAAAACGTTTACAAAACTATTCAAAGCTTATACAATACATTATTTTGAATACATGCCAACTAAAACTTTAGTTGTTAACATACATATTATTCATGTTTCTTCTGATCTGACATTCGGTAAGGAGAACTGACCTGTCTTGCTCCACATTGCTCTTTACTCTTCTCGCTTCTGTAACCTACGTGTGAAACAATCACACGCTAAGTCTATGACTTAGTGAGGCAATAAACATATAATGTAAACATTTACTAGTAATCATTTCTTACAACTCATATATTGTTATATGTAACAAATACATACATATATACATACATATGTCATTATTATTCATATTTCTTATCTTCTGCTCCTATGATCTTTTATGTCCATATTATATATATGATAAACTTGTTATTATATCATCATGTCAATCAATTATACTCATTCACATATACCTTAACAGGTATTCATGTATACCATATAACATATATATATCATATCATGTAAAACATATATCATATCGTAAATCAAACACACAAGCAACTATATCATCATCTTCATTCTTATCACTATCATTGATTCCTTTTATCATATAATCTTATAATTACCATTTGTACCATCATATATCACACATAACATTTCATAAGGAAACAAACATATCATCATATCCAGTTTATTAATATTATCTCTTTATTAGCCCATGGTACACATGTGAGAACTGTAGATACGGGAGTCTATTGAGGTTGTGCACCACTATGCTATCACCACAGCTCGTATAAATGTCCCGAAGGACCTATCCAGAGGTCATAAAAATCCTCGGTAACTATCCAGAGGTCATAAAAATCCTCGGTAACTATCCAGATGTCATAAAGATCCTCGGTAAATTGTCCATATGTTCCTTAGAACATAGGTAAACTGTCCATATGTCTCGAAAGACATAGGTAAACCCTCGACTCTTGGCATACCAACTATACCCCTAGCTCTCATATCACATAACATGGGCATTATCATTTATAACATTTCATATCACTTGTTATTTCTCTTCTGTCACATACCACATGTATGTGTAACCATATATCTCATATCATATCATGTATCACAAGTGCATGTATTCACGTAGATCGTTTCATATGACTTATATCATTTCTCATTTGTTCATGTAACTCGCATGTCATATCATGTAACATATAACACATAATCATATAGGCTTACGGTTTTATCACCTATCATGTTATTTCACATATACACTTTTATATCACATAAACTCATATATATCATGTCACATAAATAACATATGACACATATACCCATAACTTCATATCACATACTTATATCAATTCACACTTAGTCACATGGGTCATTTCTCATAACATATATCACATCACATATGTTCATGGGTATATCCCATAGCATATAAAATAACATATAAACTTATATATGTATTCATGTGTATACTTTCATCTAGCCTATATATAAATGTCACATAACTTATCTTATAACTTATTTGATATTCCTATATATTCTCATCTTATAACTTATATTACCTATGCATATAACCTTATGACTTATTATCAAGTACTCAATTAATGTTCCTATATGGTTCCATCTTTATCATATAACCTATTAGCTATTCTTATATTACCCTATATCAACCATACTTTGTTTATCTCACTTTTCATATCATTCATTTATCACATATATGTCACTTTGCTTATAACACTTCTCTGGTTTTCATATGATATGTAAATCATTGTCATCTCTTGTTGTCATATAATTCCATATAGTCACTTATCACTTATCACATAGTTTACATCTTATGATCATAGAATCATATCAATAACACATATACTCATGCACACATATAAATCATAACAAACACATACCCCTATGAATTCATGCATTTTACTATTGGAAATAGACTTACCATAAGTCTTATTTTCCATTTAACATCATATACTAAATAATGTGCACTCACATTGGCCTCACTAAGTTTCAATCCACTTTATGATTTCTTCTCTTTCGATCGAATCTTAACTTGATACACAACCCGGAACTTGATCGTGTTCGATATCTACATAATTATACATTGATACATATCAGTATCCCATTGTTATAATCTAATCTATCATTTATAGACCAGAGGAAATTTCTATTTCAATTTCCCCTTGAAGTGCATCGATGCATGCTACAGTGCATCGATGCATTCTTAACACGTGCATCGATGCACTCCCCATGCATCGATACACAAATTACCTTCGATGTTTTCATTTTAAAGGGATGCATCGATGCACTCCTTATGCATTGATGCACCATTTGCATTCGATGTTTCTTCTTTAAAGAGTGCATCGATGCACATTGCACATTGAATGTGCATCGATACACCTTGCCCAGAATTTGCATTTTAAGCTCGAAAATCCATTTAATCCAACTCAAATGCTTCATATTTCATCCCCTTTCATATTCCTTACTTACATATGCATATTTGCCCTCATTTCTACTCAATAATCACTTCTTTAACCTCCATATCCTATTCTCCTTAAGAAATTCAAGAATCATACCCAAATTTTAACACGTTACAAATCCAATTCTAATACTTCATACATGTTAATTAGATTGATGACAAGTCAAATTCACTCTAAAACCTCATTAAATAACCCTCTTTCAAGATTTCACTTATTCCTCTCTTTTCTTTAATCCCCTATATTCTCTTCATCTTATTGTTTCAAGATAATTTAAGCTCTTCTTATGCTTAATTATCACTAATAATCAAAACTCAACCTTAAATTTCAGCTAATAATCAACAAATAAAGAAACTCACCTTTGCCTAGCTTGGGTACGTTGGAGAAGAAGAAAGCACGTAAAGAAGAAGAGAGTTTTCACCTTCCTCTCCCCCACGTGTTAATCTCCTAATAAAGGGGAGAAAATATTTTTCCTTGTCAATTGACCATTTTACCCTTTACTTCATTTAATAATTACCAACAACTTTTATGTTTTATTTCCAAATAAATCATTGAACTAATCCATGGTTCTACTCTAGTCACCAAATTCTAAAACTTTACAATTTGATCATTAACCCGGTATTGAGGATGTTACAAAGTGTCTTATAACTCGCTTTCAAAATTTATGTTTATTTTTTATTTTCTTCAAAGAGTCAATGTTACGTTACAAGGATTTTGTATCGAACATTACTTTAATATGACACTCGAAAACGAAGTCTTAAAAGCATGATTTTTTTTAGGCTCATCACCAAATTAACACTGTCTAAAAGGATGAACTGAGATGAGATGGAAATGATGATATATTTTTTAAATTATTATTATTATTTAATATAAAATAAATTAGAAGATGAACAAAGAGTTTAAATTTTGATAGCTAAATATGTTATTATACATATTTTAATAATAGTGCATTATCTGCTTTTAAAGTTTTAACGACAACAGATTAATTTGTTAAATCAATGACTACTTCATAATTTTTTATAGTCAGAGAACTAAAAAAATCTCCATATAGCAAGAAGACTATTTGCAGAATTTACCCAAAAAGTAAATAAGGAATTGGAATCCCATCATTTTTGTCTTTAATTTCTGAAATTTAATATGAATTTGGACTTCTTCGGTTCAAACAGTAACTTTTTAAGCCCAAACTTTCATGGGCCAACTGTTGATCACTGTCGTTATTATTTGGAAACTGAAAAAGAAAGTCTATGAAAACCCCCCTAAACCCTTCCTCATTTACGCCCCTTCGATCTGCCAAATCCTAAAACCGGTAAGTTTCCTTGTTTTGCCGCTTTGATTAGGGTTGAATAGTACCGCTTAATCAGGGTTTAATAGCTTGGTTAAAACGAGAAAGCGAAATGCCGCTTGGATTGATTTTAGGGATAGGAAGGGCGTTTCGAAGGAAGCGTACCTCATCGCTCGATATTCTCTCATCGAAACGAGCCCCCAGAGATTACTACAAGGGGAAGAATTGCAAGTCTACTGGTTTCCACACTCGCAAAGGTTTCTTTTCACTTGCTTCTTTTTTTCCTTTGAAGCTTTTAAAGATTATTGTTAATTTTGAGAAGGATAAGAACCCTTTCATAGAAATTATTGAAATTTTTGTTTGATTGATATAATTTTATGTTGTTTAATTGGAGGATTGGAATAGTTATTTTCGTGGTTCGGCATGTTAAGAGCAAGCATAAATTCTTCATTTTTCTTTTATTTTTGAAAGGTCGTTTTTACTTTCTTGATCATAACGGTTTTGGTTATTCCGAGTAGCAGATTTCCTTTTAAATCACGAACTGAACAATGTTGATCATCTGGCAATATCTCAACAATCTGCTTGTGCTTTTTAAGTTCTTGAGCTATATTTGATAATCTTATGACCATGAATGCATAAAAGATAAGAACTATAATCTTAGGTGGTGAATTGTGTGAATTTCGCCTAACATCCTCAAAATACTCGATGAAAAATTATTGCTAACTTTTAATATGAAAAGTAGCTCAAGTTATTAGGTTTTATGCATACAATTGCAAGTAATTTCAGAAGCTTGTATGCCTATGGGATTAGACAGACTATTACCATGTGATGGAAAATGAGAAATACAAGTCCCATAAGAACTTTCCAGATTCAATATTTTTGGACTGTTACATGAACATTGAAATGTAATTTCTTGAATTGAAAATGTGTATCTGAGGTTTTGTTTGTACTATAACTGAATTATATGCTGTAGGTGGATATGTTGTGATGCAGGAGAAGTTGCCAAACTATGTTGTTCCTGATTTGACTGACTTCAAGGTAATATTTATTCCTTGCTTTACATTTTTTTCTCTTTAATTTTATATTGATCTTTCACGGATGGAGCATTCTATGTTAGCTGCAAAACATTGCTTGTCCAGGATAGTTAATTAGTCTCCCTTTTCCTCATAGAGCAGGTTCATGGGAAAGTTATTGTTTTCTGATGCTTTTATAAACATCATGGAGGTGTTATAATTCATGACCATAGAAATTTGTTTTCTCAAGGCTTGGACTTTGTAGATGTTATAGAAGCATTGTGGTTGACTGTGCTTGAATTGGATCTTTTGAACTTTATATTTCAGCTGAGAGTTGGCATTTTTGTGTGTGATCTGTATACACTTGAGAAATTCACTGCATAGGTTTTGAAGGTAGACTTTGATTCATACATAACACCTGGGGCATGATCTCCTTATCTTGTTTCTCAAAAAGTTTGAGCTCTTTAATTTGTGATATAATTTATTTGCATCTATTGTTGATCTTGGGTTGCGGCCTTTGTTCTTGCAGCTCAAACCTTATGTATCACAGTGCCCCAGAGATGTCAAAATGGCGGAGGCTGCTGAATCAGCTAATTTATAAGATGAAGGATTGTATGATCTTCTTGCTTTCATCATCTAATTGCTATCTGGTTGAACAAAATAGAACGTGTTCTTGTGGTGTCCAATAACTGGCTCGGCCTATTGTCAATTCTTCATTTCTATGCCAGTTTCTAAGCAATTAACCATTGTAATGCCTGCAAATATTGAGATAAGATCAGGTTGCTTAAGAGAACATCATTAGCTTACTATTTGTTTGTAGCTAGCTACAATATTATCTCAACCCCGACCAACTTTTGCCCCTTATATAATTCATCAAGAACATGATTTATTTTGCAAAGGTAATGTTTTCAACTTTTTTTACCAATATATACCATTTTCTATTTATTTATTTTATATCAAAATGACACCCTCCAAATATTATTTATGGATTTGCACACATTTCTATCATGTATTACAAAGATGTGTTTTGTCACATGTGTTTTTTAAAGTTGCGTTTGACAATTGTCATACATGGCATTCTAGTCAATATATGTGAAAAGTGTGCTTGGTTAGTTTTTCTTTTGGAGTTTTAAATTTGAATTTGAATTTTTAGAGGGCGCAACACGTCTTACTTATCAAATGTCAACCCTTAGCTTCATTCTGAAAAAAATTCGATCAGAGTTTGTTAAATTTATTACAATAGTATTTAGATATTCTATTTTTGAGAAGTAGAAATCATTTGGCTTAGCTCAACAAAACTTTTGTAATTCGACGGGTATGTTGTGGAAATTGAACTCTACACAATAAAATCCGTTGAACTCTCCTTTAGTACTCTACACAATTTGATTTAGAGAAACTCATTAATGCTCAAACCAGAATGATCAATACCTAATGTTAGGGAAAATCTATTATCTAGAAAATTATGTTTATACCGTGCTGTAGAGCAGAGATTGAAACGAACGGGCTTTGAGAATTTATTGAATCTATTAACAGTGGCAGACTGATACACAGTTCAAAAGAGGTATATTTTGTTAAATTATTTATGGGTTTAGTGTGTATAGACGAGTGATTAAGAGCAATGAGAAGTAGAACTCGTCTAGCTTACAGTGATACTTACATGCCTCATTTTGAATAAATACCATTTGTTTTCTGGAAAAGGGGATTGCATTGCTTGTTTTCTTGCCGATGTTGGAATCCACATTTTTCAACAAATTGTGGTGTAATCAGAGGTGTGAATTGTAACCCCTAGACCGGCTATGCGTTTCGACTAAGTCTAATGGATCACATTATGATTATTAAAGACATTTTCCGAAACCGTTATTCCATCAATATAAAATCACATTATAAATAACATGAAATTATAAACAAATTATACTATCAAAATCCAACTCGTAAATATAGTACCAATAAATAATAATTTAATTTAAAACATGTCTTCAAATTCAAAATCACAATAAACGAGCAGTAATAGCAAAAGAGTCATCATTATAAAATCCGATATTTTAAAATAAGGTCCATGTCACCAAAATAAAGTCAACTTGCAAGATAAAAACATTACAATTTGATTTACTTCAAGAGATATGTTGATCATCCAAGTGCTCGAACCGAGGAATCTAACCAACAATATCTGAAAGGGGGAAAACATTTTCAAAAGGTGAGCTAGGCTCAGTGTGTCCCAACATTTTCATAAAATCACAATAGGTACAAATCATAGTCCAGTAATCTCACAAATTCGTAAAAGAGTTTAACTTTTGAAAATCATAGTTTAAACCCTTTTCTGGTACACCATCAGTAGTTCCCAAAATTATTTTCCAGATAGCTTACTTTATGCACATAGCAAAAGAAAGCCGACTTAAGGATAGGCTCTGAAGCTTGTATCCTTAAGCCCAAGTCAATAAGTCTATATAGCTTACCCTAAGCACACAGCAAAGGAAAGCCGACCTAATGAAACATCTTGGGGCCCTCAAGAGTCACATTAGGCCCATTTAGCTCAGAGCTATTCCATCGTAATTCAATTCCAAAATTCAATTGCACCGTGGCATAAATTCCATAAATCCAAAAACATGGTAATCATATACCATTTCAAAACAAAAATTAGATAGCAGCTATATTCCATAAATTGTCACATAAAATTAGTGCATCCATAAAACAATAACCAATGAATTCGGTGTACCACATATTAAAACCAATAAAACAGTTCAGTAATAAGTAGGGAACACACCTTGACAATAGGTTCAAATAGCAAATCTACTGATTGCTGGTTTCACCACGCTCTGCTACAGTTTTCGAACGCGTGAATAATGGCACACGTGGTTTAACTGATCTAGAAGAGCTGGGTCGAGCTGTCGAACGATCCGGAAAGTCTCTTGTACCTTCAAACAATAATAATCTATCAGTCTCAAATCCTATTTAATTGTTCAAAACTAGACTTCTTAAGTATATAAGCATTTTTTGGGTTTGACTATCAATTTGGGGTATTTCGAGTCTGAATTTGGCCAAACGGATTGCGGAATCGGAATCAGGACGTCGAAAAACATAAAGTATGACTTTTCGAAAATTCAGATTCTTGGTCAAAGTTAAAGTCAACCACTTTGACCGTCGATTTGGAGGCCTTCAGGTTCGAATTTGACAAAACGGACAGCGGAAACGGATTCGCACGTCGAAAACTATCAGGATAGGTATACTCAGAAAAGATTAACGGTCGTTTAATGCTCGGTCAAAGCCATTTTAAGTTTTGGTCAAAGAAAGTCAACGGTCAACGGTCGGGTCGGGTCAACGGTCGGGTCGAGTCGGTCGGTCGGGTCAGACCGGTCAAACCGGTTCAGACCGATCAAACCGGTTCGAACCGGTCGAAACCGGTCAAACAGAACCGGTTGAAAACCGGTTAAATCGGTTTCCAGCAGCCACTCTCCCTGCGGCGGCGCGTGTGGCGCGTGAAGCGTCCTCCGGGGCCCTAAAAATCTCAGAAAAATTTCTAAAAATTATTTTGAGCGATTTCGAGATACTTACAACGATCGGTTCAAATTTTTGAACGGCGGAGAGCTCGATTTCAAATCGGCCGAATCTTTGACTGCACCACCTCCTCACGCGCCGCCGTCAACGGCGGACAAGGTTGACACCGGTGGACTCGAAACGACACAAGGAACACGATGGTGTAGGAGGTGTCGTAAACTGAGCAACGATCGGCGGTGAATTTGAGATTTTCTCGGCGATAGAGCTAAAAAAAACGTCGATGCTTTGACTTGAAATTCCTGACGTTTAGCAGCGTTTTGCTTCAATTAATTTAAGGGGATTGTTCCTGACTCGATAACGAACACGATGGTGGTTTCAATTTGACGATCGGATGTCGAACGGCGTCGGAATCGGACTTGAAAGTCGAGGTGCGGGAGGAGTGAAAGTTTAAGAAAAACTTTTGTGTTTTCTTATTGAAATCAGAAAACACGTTAAGTTATAACCAAACATGCTGACACTTTAAGGGAAATTCAGGGTTTGGTCCCTGAATTTCCTTTACTTCGAAAATGGAACAAGTTTTCATAAATTATACTTTAGTCAATTAATTTCACCCATTTTCACAATTTACCTCCAATTTCAATTAATATTATTTTGTAAATAGTCGGGTTGTTACAATTCTCCCCCTCTACAATAAATTTCGTCCTCGAAATTTACCTTATGAGAATAGTTGAGGAAATTGAGCCTCCATTGACTCCAATGTCTCCCAAGTAGCTTCTGAGGGGCCTCGATTACTCCACTGAACTTTGACCATTGGAATTCGCCTATTCCGAAGAACTCGTTCATCTCTCTCTAAGATCTGAATGGACTCCTCTTCATATGACAAATCAGGTCTCAGCTCTACTCCTTCAACCTGAATAATGTGACCTGGATCTGGACGGTATCTCCTCAACATTGATACATGAAAGACATCATGAATACGACTTAGCTCAGAAGGCAACTCAAGCTGATATGCAACAGGTCCTACCCTCTTCAAGATACGAAATGGTCCAATAAATCTTGGACTCAATTTACCCTTACGTCCGAATCTCAATACTTTCTTCCAGGGTGAAACTTTCAAAAATACCTGATCTCCCACCTCAAACTTTATATCCTTCCTCCTTTGATCTGCATAAGATTTCTGCCTATCAAATGCCTGATCTCCCACCTCTGAAATATACAATCTCGCCAGTTTGTCCAAAGTATAATTTACCCGCACAGGAATGAAGTGAGCTGACTTTGTAAGTCTGTCAACAATTACCCAAACTGAATCCTTTTTCGAAGGAGTCATAGGTAATCCGGTAATAAAATCCATAGTAATACGCTCCCATTTCCATTCAGGAATCTTGATAGGCTGTAACAAACCTGATGGATGTTGATGTTCTACCTTAACTTGTTGACAAGTCAAACACCTCGCTACAAAATTCGAGATGTCCTTCTTCATGCCGATCCAATGATACCTCTCTCTCAAATTCTGATACATCTTATCTCCACCGGGGTGCATAGCATATGGACTACTATGAGCCTCAGTAAGGATAGTCTGTCTCAACTCAGCATCATCAGGCACACAATACCGACCTTTGAAGCATAAAACTTCATCCCGGTCAATTGCGTAATATGAGTTTGTCCCCTGCTTTACTTGCTCAAAGATGGAAAACAATGAGCTATCAAGGGGCTGCTTAGCCTTGATCTTATCAACCAAGGTCGGTTTAACTTGCAATTCTGCTAACAAAGTACCATCGTCATATAAATTCATCTTGGCCATTAAAGACCTCAACTCCGATACCGTCTTTCGACTCAAAGCATCCGCTACAATGTTAGCTTTACCAGGGTGGTAATCAATCACGCAATCATAATCCTTTAGAAGCTCTAACCAGCGACGCTGTCTCAAATTAAGTTCCTTCTGGATCAGAAGATACTTTAAGCTCTTATGATCCGTGAAAATGTAACACTTCTCTCCATAAAGATAGTGTCTTCAAATCTTCAAGGAAAAAATTAATGCTGCCAACTCTAAATCGTGAGTAGGATAGTTACTCTCATGCGGCCGCAGCTGACGGGATGCATAAGCCACCACCTTACTTTCCTGCATTAAAACACAACCAAGTTCTGAATGTGAATCATCACTATACACTGTAAAATCCTTCCCGGACTCTGGTTGAATCAACACCGGTGCTTGAGTCAAAACCGCCTTTAATTTCTCAAAGCTCTCCTGTTGTGCCTCGCCCCAGTCAAACGACACATTCTTCCTTAACAACTTTGTCAAAGGAGAAGCAATGATCGAGAAGCCCTCAACAAAACGTCGATAATAACCAGCCAAGCCCAAGAAA